AGCAAAGGGTCTGAATACTTATGAGCATGTGATATTTCAGTTTTTCTTTTTTAATAAATCTGCAAAAATGTCAAAAATTCTGTGTTTTTCTGTCAATATGGGGTGCTGTGTGTACATTAATGAGGAAAAATACGTTCCGTACCCACTGTACACCAAATCAACATAAATAAAATCATATTAAAAACCATAGTGTCCAAATCATCTGTTACACTCACATTTAAACTGTAAAATACTATATAAAAGCAGTTTAAATTGAGATAAAAGAATGAGCACAGCCAGTTTTCTTTTTTTCTACAAAGTGTTCCATCAGGGTCTTGGCAGAGGTATGCGTATAAATTATATCACTATAGTCTATTACAGATAAAATTATGGTTTGTACACTCATTAAAACAAAATGTTTCTATATAGAAATGAAACTCTAGGCTTAAATGAAGCACCTTATTTGTCAATATGCATTTTAAAACTCAGCTCATCATCAAACTAAAAGCCAAGATATGTATATGCAGCGACTTTGTCAATAACAGCACCATTCAGTGTAGCTATATATAAATTGAAATGATCAGTTTTACATAGTTTTCTATTAAAAATCATATACCGTGTTTTACAAGAATTTAATGTTAATGTAAGATCAAGAACATGATATACAACAATGTTAAAATCAGATTCTAAACACTGAAAAGCCTGAACAATGGAGGGGGCCACTGTATAAATGACTGTCACCTGCATATAAATGCATAGTACTGCTATGATCCTAGATCATTAATACAAATAGTGAATAAAGTGGGGCCCAAAATAGATCCATGTGGGACTCCTCTAAGAATGCCCATAAAATATGACTTAAAACAATCTACTACAACAGCTGGTAATCTATCAGACAAATAATTTCTAAACCATTCATGAATCAAAGGGAAGACTTCTGTATTCATTACAGAATACGATGAGGGCAACCAGTAGCAGAGGCAATTCGAGAAAACAACAGGTAATAATTGGTAGATTGAGGATTGGGCATAGTAATCTATGGTTACTTTGTGCAATGTCAGGAAACGAAATTGATATAGTTGATCAGTATATTTCATGCAGGTAATATACAGAATCAAGATTAGAAATAATGACTAAGCTGCAGAAGCAGGACTATCAGAATGTAGTTTGAAAAGTATTTTAGATTAGTAGTTGGAAGGGGAGCAGGTTTTTGTTCGACTATTTGAGGCCGACTGGACTGATTAGCCTAATATAAAATATCGGGGGCGTTGACGTGTACTACAGACAGTAGGCGGCGGTAATGCAACATTAACGCCGTAAAACGCACAAGGAAGAAGAAGAACAGAGGGGAGGGGTGACAAACATGGCCGACGAGTCAGGAGAAGTAAACACAGCTGTTGGGGATAACGAAGCTAAACAACAGTTAGATGAGCCAGACGTTTCGGGAGCTGTGACCAGTGACGAGTCTGGAGACAGCGATGGACAAGGCCAGGCAGAGAAGCCGACTCCGACCGCGACAGAAAACAGCTGTTCGGCTCCTATCCTGTCTCTGGCTCGGAAGGCCACGATTAGCAGCGGTGTGAGCTTTACTGCTGCCCCGAGAAATCCCTCACAGGGATCTGCTGCGAGCTCCCTGACGGAGAAGGAGTCCGAAAATGATCTCAACAGCGATTTTAAAAAGCTCCCAGGTAGGCCCTGACTATCATTAATCTTTAACAGTTAAACTAACCATTTATATTTGATCTCAGTTACTTCCTCTTGAACCAATTGTCAGCTGTCAGGTCATATGACTTAATGAGCACTGTTTATTTACTGGGTTGGGTACGCGGTTCTGTTTGAGTGTTTACTCCCAATGTAGTGTTTCTTCTGTCATTTACTGACACGTGCTTGTGTGATTCCTCTATTATGCCTGTATCTGTTTGAGAGATCTCATTTAATTGCGTCATCTTTACATTGCATCCTTTACAGTTGTGCCCTCACAAGACCCAATGGCAATAGAAAGAGCCAACCTTCTCAGCATGATGAAGCTGAGCATCAAAGTATTAATTCAGTCCTCCTTAAGTCTTGGCAGGACCCTGGACTCGGAGTACCCTCCTCTGCAGCAGTTTTTTGTCGTCCTGGAGCACTGCCTCAAACATGGGCTGAAAGGTGAGACAGTCCATTAAGCTGACCTTGGAACATAGTATATTTTTTATTTATTTCTGGAGCCTGCAGAAATTACTTTCACTTTTTTCCAGCCAAGAAATCCTTCATTGGTCAGAACAAGTCCATATGGGGACCTCTGGAACTAGTTGAGAAGTTATGTCCAGAGTCTCTTAACATTGTCACAAGTGCCAGAGATCTGCCTGGCATTAAGTATGCTATTGCACACCATTTCACACTAAACCTACAATACAATGTATGCACATCAGTTGTTTTATTACTGTATGTTTTATTCAATTTCAGGACTAGTTTGGGGAGAGCAAGGGCGTGGCTGCATTTAGCGCTCATGCAGAAAAAAGTAGCTGACTATATGAAAGTTCTGCTGGACCGCAAGGATCTCCTGAGGTTAGTTAGAAAGATCAGTTATGGGGATTCAGCACCAGGCATATAATACAACAATGTAGACATTTGTCAGGTAACTTGAGTATTTTCCACACTTGCAATTTATTCTTTTTCCTTCCTCACCTATTCTTCAACCCTGTAGTGAGTTTTATGACTATGGAGCATTGATGATGGAGGAGGAGGGGGCGGTGATGGGAGGGCTGCTGGTGGGCCTCAACTTAATTGACGCTAACCTCTGTATTAAAGGGGAGGACCTTGATTCTCAGGTGAGTGCTTCAGCAGTCACATACCTCATGCTCTCTCTTTGAGAATTAAGTAAAGGTTTCTCTTTTCCATTTAGGTAGGAGTCATTGACTTCTCCCTTTACTTGAAGGACCCAGCCAACAGTGAGACCCCAAAAGAGTGAGTGCCCGCTTTCGTATGGTTTATGCATCTCACCTTCACTGGTCTTCATTATGTTTTGAACTGCTCTATGTTACTGTTTTACTTTGAACCATGGCCCTGGCATTATATTAACTAGATTTCAAACACACCTGGTGCACACTCAACCTGTCTTTTGCTTTTAGTGATGCCAAGATGACAGCCATATTAGATCAGAAGCACTACATTGAAGAGCTGAATCGTCACCTAAGTGGCACTGTCACCGACCTTCAGGCTAAGATGGACTCTCTGGAGAAGACCAACAGCAAACTTGTCGAGGAGGTCAGAAAAACTGCCAGTTAACAATGTTGTGATTGCTGTAAATAAAACATCTGTATGCAATGGGCATGTTTCCTTGACTGATAAATGTGTTTTCCATTTCCTCAGCTGACAGCAGCAACTGACAGAATAAACTCTCTGCGGGATGAACAGGAACAGCTACAAAAGGAGAACGAGTCGATCTTACAGTCCAGCCAGAAAAAGGAAGAGGTCAGAAAGGATATGAAACTAGAAGCAACTGAAGTGCTTCAAACTTTGAAAATGTACAGTGTATGGTGTGCTTGTGTGTGTGTGTGTATATATATATACTGTATATTTTTTTTTGCTCTCAGGCAGCCCTTCAGGACAGCCAGGTGGAGCTGGAGACATACAAACAGACTCGGCAGGGCCTGGATGAGATGTACAATGTAGTATGGAAGCAGTACAAGGAGGAAAAGCGCATTCGCCAGGTCAGGTATCAACAGGCTACACATGCATGTGGTAACAAAATGTGACTCAGCTGCTGTGTTGAAGGGCGAGGTATAGTGCTATGGTCCTTTTTTTGGGTCAGGGATGGTGTGTAATTTAGTCTTCACATTTCACTGTCAATACATTAGAAAGAAGCCAGCATTGTGAGATCAGTGTCTTGTTAACAGACACGTCATCATGTCAAGTGTTTGATGTCACTCTAGAACGGAATTTGGCTCATGGCTTTTGTGTGCTTGCAATGCATGATGTTAGGAGCTGGAACGTGAGTTGGAGCTGCAGGTGGGGTTAAAGCAGGAAATGGAGGTGGCCATGAAGCTCCTGGAGAAAGACACGCATGAGAAACAGGACACGCTGGCAGCCTTGCGGCTCCAACTCGAGCAAGTCAAGACTCTCAACGTGCAAATGTTCCACAAAGCTCAGGTAGACAGACATGAATCAGCCTTTCCTCTTGCATGCTCAGGCAGACAGAGCACACATTTACGCAACTTATGTGACTCCTAAGGACTCAGAACGAGAAGCAGAAAAAAAGCAGGCGCAGGCCGTGCAGCTTGAGAAAAAGATGAACGAAATGGAGAAAACCATGACAGAAATAGAGCAGAGGTATGCATTTGTGCATGTGTGAGTTTACATGTGTTAAAAATATATTCCTTTATGCAAATATTTCCCTTGGTGGTTTGTGTATCCCAGACTACAGAACTCGGAACAAGAGCGCAAACAGAGCGACCAGTCAGACAAAGACATGAGAGTGGAGCTGGAAGGAAAAGTGGAAGCTTTGCAGAAACAGCTGGCTGACCTGGACTCACTAAGGTTGGTTGGGAAAAACTAACAAAAAAGACTGAAACAGTTCATGGAATAAAAGATTTTAAAAGGTTCACCCCAAAGCCTGTAAAGGTAATTTTCAAAATTAAATTTATAATACTGTGCCCATTTAGTGAAGAAGTCACCTAGCAAAGTTGTCAAATCCTCCTAACAGCTCTAGGGGCCTGAAAGGGTTTTGGCTGAAAACAGTTTATTTTTGCATCTAGAATATCTTTGAAACTGATCTGCTGGTCAGTAAATAAATAGTAGTTCATGAAGTTATCAGTGTGTAAACAAATCAATAGGATACAAGCTCAATTTCAGCATCAATAAATCTCCCAAATTTAAACCAAATGACAATTAAAAGATCTTTTTACAGTCGGTATGTGAGAAACCTTTTCAAGTTGTTGCAGTTAACACTCTCAAGGTAAATCTAAAGCAAATGCAAGTCAAAAATGTAACCGAAATCCACACCACAGCTCAAAATGAATTTGCTGAATCCTTTGAACATGCAGTCTTTCACATATGTTGTACAGGTTTAAACTGAACCTGTTGCTTCTCTGTGCACAGGCTGGGTTTGGAGAATGAGCTGCGCACTGAGAGGGAACAGAGACAAAACTTACAGAAAGCTCTCCAGAGGGAACAGGACAACAGCGTCGAGCTCCGCACGCAGCTGCAACAACTTCAGGGCCTGCACACAGTCAGTGTCACAGGTTTCTAACACACCAGGGTTAAGGTCAAATGGCTCAGGTTGTAACATAAGTTATACAAATGATCTGTAATGGGGAAAAAAAAATAACTGTAGAAGCCAGTGTTTATGTATGGAGTTTTAAAATTAGCATACATGCTGTATCAATATTTTCACATTGCATTAGCTCAGTTGGTGCAACAATCTCAGCAAAACATTGTGCTGTCAGCAAATACCTAATCCTGTACAGTAGTGTGATGTTATTGTTTCCTGTGAATTCATTGTGCAGGAGCTGCAGGAGTTGAAGCAGGAGAAGCAGCAGCTGCAGCAGACATGTGAGCAGCAGGAACAGGCGCTACAAGAGATGGGGCTGCACCTCAGCCAGTTAGTACTTGTGATTGTGACATCATCTTTATTAGTCCATGCTATTTCACGTCATGAGGTTTTTTTTTTTATTGCCCTCAATTTTGTCCAAGGTCTAAACTTAAGATGGAGGATTTCAAGGAGGTCAACAAAGCCCTGAAGGTAAAATGTGACCGAGTTGGTGGACTTGCTCAGTTGATGCTGTAAATTCTGAAAAGCTTCATGTTCTGTTCAATGCTCCCATCAGGGGCAAGCCTGGCTGAAAGATGATGAAGCCACTCAGTGCAAGCAATGCCAGAAGGAGTTCTCCATCTCACGCAGAAAGGCAGGCTTTTTTTTCCCCGCTGCACTTTGTTTGTACAGCTTTTTTAATGTGCATTATCAGTCATTTCAATAAGCAGTGTATGTTTGGGTTGCAGCACCACTGCAGGAACTGTGGAGACATCTATTGCAACAGTTGCTCCAGCAACGAGCTGGCCTTGCCTTCCTATCCCAGACCTGTGCGGGTGTGCGACGTGTGCCACTCCCTCCTGCTACAGAGAAGCTCCTCCACAGCTTCCTGACAAAACAAAGTGTAAATGGTCCTACACATGCTCATCCACTATGTTTTTTTTTAACCAAGTACACTTAAGAATTGTCAGCAAATCTTAATAGAAATTAATTTGGTGGTCCACTTCCACCGCTACCTGAAATTCAGGAACATTCTCTTCTGTATTAAATGAGGAACCGTTTAACATTGCTGGGATGAGCTAATATAGTTTATGCAGACTGTATATTAAGGAGAGTTGACTTTGCTCAGAGGATGATATTTATGGGATCAGGAATATCATCGGTTTAGCAATTTGGTACTCATTCGGTAAAGATTTTAATGTGTGGAGTTTTCCTAATTCAAACCATGGAAGTAGATTATGTTAAGGTCTCTTAAAGGCCACTGCTGGTTTTCAACTTTTGTTTGGGGACTATTTGTGTAGCTGGTTTATAGAGGACACATGCACTTCATTTTGATATTGTTAAACTTGTCCTGCAGCTATTCTTTAATGGTTTTTACAGCTGTGGTCCCACTGCTCGATACATGCAAAATTATGTAAATGACTGTAGAATGTTAACAAAAAAATCTATTTTAGAATGTTAACACAATCCAAAAAATCTTGTTATAACTTCCACAAAGCCATTTTCTTAATTAATTTGGAAATAACTAAACTTTTTTTTATCTACATATTTGATAAATGAATAAAGCCTTCTGTTTTGCAACATGTTTCAATTAGATATTCCAGACTAGTTTATTCACTTTGTGCACAGGAAATACAAATAGCATCTGAAGCAGTAGAAACCTTCATGTCAGTAGATTTGAAACTCACTCACCCTTTATGTAGCCCTCATCCAGAAAAACTGCCTTATCAAAAGTCACATTTTAAAACAAAACATGCCCTGACTATGTAAAGTCTCAAATTTGATGGGAGATATAAAAAAAAAAAAAAAAAAAAAAAAAAAAAAAAAAAAAAAAAAAGCTATACACTACGTAGAAGATGAAATTAGGTCTGAACAAAAACCAGACGCTTGGATTTTTCTGTTCATGCACTCAGACACTGAAACCTGTTAAACCCCTTAGCGCAGGATGAGTTAACCTTAAATAATGACCATGTGCTGGGAGAATAACACAAAAACGACACTTCCTGGTAATGACACAGCCTCTGTGATGTTTCAAATCTGTGAGGAATGGGGAAGACAGACAATGCTTCTGTTGTACTCGTGACAATGAATGATCTCACTTTCTCTGAAGATCATCCACTTAAAAAAAATAAAATACAAACCCTACCCCTTAATATTTTCTAAGTAACACCACCTGACCCTGCCTTATGTTTAGTGGTGACATATATGTTTCCAGTCCTTCCAGCAAAATGCCGACGTAAAAAAAAAATAAAAAAAAATTACATTCCCCATCCCCCACCCAGTCCATTCATAGAGCCTCTGCTTCCTCCTCCTCCACCGCCGCCATAGTAACTGCTTCCCATTCCGCCCTGGTTACCTAACAAGAGAGAGAGAATACACTCCATAGGACCGAGGAGTTCAAAGAGTCGTACACACAAAAAACCTGATTTCTGCTCTTCAAGGTTTAAAATTAATATGCTGTGTTGCATATTAATGATTTAGTGTTGAGAGAAGGAAAGGTTGTAAATTAGTGTGGCTGTGGAAGAAACCTGCTGCAACAGAGCTGACACTCACTATAGTCACTGTAGCCGCCCATGTTTCCTTGGCTGCTGTATCCACCAGAGTACCCTGAGCTCAGCTGGCCACCACTGTAAGAAGACTGGTTCCCTGTAAAGACAAATCACATCAGGTTCAAGAAGAGATTAAAGCAACACAAAACATCCTAAGCTGTTAAATGCTATTTGATGCTGCTGCTTGTTTTACAACACCATTGCTTGTTTCAACAATGCAAGCATTCTGTGCAAACAATTAATCTAAACAACAGATGCCTCCAGTCTCAAGACCACTGTTATCAATACTCACCCATGCCACCCATCATCTGGCTGCTGTAGGCTCCATTACTACCACCTGCTGTTGAGTTCAAGAACAACTCCACATAGCGGTGCTCTAAGGAGCAGAGAGAGACCATGAGCATCACAGTGAACATCTATATGCAGCAGTGAAATGGTAAAGTCGCTTAATTTGAACTCACGCATGTTGGCTTTGTCTTTGGACATGGCTGCTACAGCATCCTCATGTGTTGCAAACTCCACATCCGCCTCCCCGGTTACCCTCCCATCTGGACCAATCTCAATATGGACCCGCACTGGATTCAGTGGTGAGAAGAACTGAGAAACACAATTGGCAAATGTAGTCATTTGTGTAAGATGCAACAGTAACATCTGCAACAAACTGATATTCTGTAGTTGTTCCTGCATTTTACATTGTAAATGTCGGTTTCAGTGGCTCTGTATGGCAGACCCCTCATGTGGACACAGTGGCCTGTTGTGCTCTGAAAGGAAGAGCCACCATCTCCATACCGTCCATCCGATACACCTGAATATACAACGTGAAGATTACCACAAGGTTCTTGCACCCTAATCTTATTAATTCTATTGTGCAGCATTAGCACACACAAGGCAAGTGATTACTAAAAACGTTTCAATTGCCCTTCACTCCATTTGACACCCACCTCCTCCATAGCCTCCACGACGCATTCTGTCATAAGATCCCCCTCGGCCCATCATGTTGTAGCCGCGACCACCAGAGGGCCGGTCGTAGGGCCCAGGTCTCTGCATGCCCATGGGCTTCCGCTGGGGTTCATAATGGGTTCGCACCTCAGCGCGGCTACTCTTGAAGATCTCAATGTACCTAAAAGCATAGAGATCCCAAAGTGAGGTCGGGTGGAATGGATCAAGACGGCATTTGCTCAAAACTGATCAAACTGGCCTACACAGATGCTGTCAGGGTGTAGTCCAGTGGTAGCAACATCTTTGAATACTTAGTTGTAGTTGTTAAAGTAGATTAAAAGAACAAGTTAACTGAGATGATAAAAGAATGTTCTCCAAATTGATAAGGGCCTAAATGACTTTAGCACTTTTCTTATGGTTACCTGAAGTGATTTACAGATCTGATTCAGTATAATGTACGAGAGCATCCTGTGTCCTTGCCATGACAGCCATTGTCCTGCTTTTAGATGGACAGAGAGGGCCCCAGCCCTTCTGCAACCCACTCTAAGCATTACCTGTGACAGTGGGCTCCAGATCCTTGTGTACTTTGGCCCTCTGATTTTACCACCAGGGAGACTCCTTACCATTTATCTATCAACTTGGACTCATGTTTAGTGCCGAGACACCATTTGTTCTCAAAATTAAGTATGTAATCCAATTCAGGATTTGCCTCATAGTTTTCATTGGTGCCCAAGCACCAATCTTCCCACTGAACATTGTGCATGTGTGACATTGCTGGATCTAACATGGCAATTTGTGTTAGATCCATGGCAATTTTATGGAAAATATTACAAAAGTGCTTAAATGTGCCAAGATTACTTGCAGTGTCAGTTCTGTATTTGGTTCAGATGTTGAAGGTGCACACCATAAGAAAAGCAACTTATCCAGCCAACCAACCAACCATCCCCACCTGTGCCCTATTCTTTCCTTGTGTTTCTTTAGAGCCTTTTCAGCTATATCCTGTGAAGCAAACTGCACGAAGGCCTCCCCCGTACTCCTCCCCTGGATGTCCACCGGCAATGTTATCCCATTTGGCACGATTTCCAACCCTTCAACCCAAGGACAGATAACCCCAGCAGGGGACATATTAAATCACATGCCCAATCACAGAGTGAACGTTCTCTAAAGAGAGAGATAGAAAACTTATGGAAAACTCTATACAAAATCACACATACCAGTTTAGTTTTCAACCAGTGACTGGCCATTTAAATTACTCACATTTATTGTATTCCGGGGATAAAATAGAAATGAGAGGATAGAGGAAGAATATGGAAAAGGGCACTGCGTGGGACATCAGGCTAGTATTGGTGTGTTGATGAAGAGAGAACAAGATCCTGGTGGGTGACATTAAATTACTGTTCACCTACTAGGTACTAATCTAACACTTGGCATATACTGCATAAGAAAAATGTTAAACACATGGGTGTGGGGAAATGGAAAAAAGAAACAGCGATGCTAGGGTACAAGACTGTCACTTCAGTGATGAGTGGGACCCATTCCATTATTAGTAAATTACCATTAGGAATAAGCAACAACAACAACAAAAATCTAACAAGGTGGTTGTACAACATTCAACCTAATTAAAAGGGAAAAAAGCAATGAATGTGGGCTCCGATGGGCGTGATGGGCAAAGATGGGAAAGGGTGTTTGCATAAAATTTTGCCTTTGAAAATAAGTCTTCAAATAATTTCTCAATTAAAACTATAACTGGCTTCCTTTTCTAGCATCATTTTCTCACTGATCACTAATCCAAAAACATAAAACATTATTCTATTATGTAACACTTCACAGTAGGTAATAATCATGTTCCAATGGCACATGGACTTTTGCAAAAATCAGATGCAAAAATTGGTCAGTGTCCTTCAGAGAAAGGAAACAAGAAAAGGAAGATGGGAGAAAACAAACAAAAAAGCTTCATTTGCCAACATTAAGGAAGTTTACATGTATCCACTAATAGGATCCATTCTTACCTGAGAAAAACTGCACGATCTCCTCCTTGCTGCAGCCGAAGGGTAGACCCCGGAGTCGGACAAGCCCATCTCCTGCTGTCTCTGGACAGTTAGGACCTGTGTGCTTCATGACCCAATCCATCTCAACGTTGTTGGATTTAAACACTGTATCACAGGACAGAACAATCAGTTATTACTGTTTAAAGCAGAGACAACTGGAAAGTTTTTTGCTAAGGACTAATTATCTACGAGCAGGCGTACACACCCTCCACATATCTGTGACCCATGGTTTCTCTGTCCTTCTTCACCGCAATCTTTAGGTCTTCCTCCGTTTCCAACTCGACAAATGCCTCTCCACTAGGACGCCCCTCTCTTGTGTAGGTAAAGTGGATGCTGCTTCCATTGTTGATAATTTTGCAATCTGTATTGACATTTATCATCAAATCATTTGTGATCACATTTGTTGCTTACATATTCCCTTAAAAAAGGTGTCATATATTCACACCCACCTGAGAAAAACCTCTGTACTTCATCCACTGAGCAGGACCATGGGAGACCCCTGATTCGGACTACATATCCCTCATCAGCCATGACTGCTCACAATCCCTGAGAAAATAAAAAGTGAGACCATTTTTCAATGTTTAGGTTTGAGAAATTAGCATATACAACTATACAGAGGTATCCATTAAAATCAAGTGCCAGTAGAGGCACACGATACAGATACAATCTCCTGTCATGGTATTTAATTGTATGTGTGCCACATCGATAACATTGGCTGGGGTATTACTGGCTTGGACTAAAACACTGTTTGCCTCTAGACTTGCCTAAAAGGTTAAAGATCTCCTCCAACGTTCTGAATGATTACAGTCCCCTTTGGAATCAGTTGATGGAACTAATGTTAATAAAATGTTAATTTGTTGGTAGCACCATCTTGAGGCAGTCCGACAGTGCCAACCTGTGTTTAACGGTACCAAATCATCAGTCTTGGTGTCGTAGTTTTTGCCTGCAACAAAATATTGTTTAAAAACATTTACCGCAAGAAATTGTCAAAATCAACTTATTTCCAGGTCTAAAGTTAAGTATCTAAATAGCGTCCGCTAATGTTTCACTAGGAGCGCGAAGTCGAATCCATTCTCAGCTAGCAAGTGTGTTACATTAGCTTTAGTATTTCCTACTTCAATCAACATTTTCTAGTGTTAATTATTTTCGGTAATATTTAAGAACTCGTAGGGGACACGTTATAAATATATAACTAAGAACCTCGTTTATCTGAAATTGGATGCTTGGCCTTCAGCAAGCTCACCACCGCACCCAAACATAAAGAACAAAAGCGGCCCTCATAGCCTGCGCCACGATTTTAGCATTAGCTTAGCTGTTAGCACTCAAGCTACCATTCGCTAACTATCGGTCACGTTAAAATGGTATATACGCCAGTAACTGTGTTGCGCTGAGAAACTATGTATTTTGTAACCCTTTTAATAGCGCAAGTTATACAATATCTGAACTGATGATTTACCTGATACAAGCAAAGACACAACACGCCGGAATATGTATGGCCAAACCTGCGTGATGCAGCTGAAACCTTACACTAGGTTGCCACAACTCCTCAACCATCCCCCTTACTCGAGCTACAAAACAATGCGCTTAAGTATAACCAAACTGCTATATAGTGACGTTATTCAACATGACCAAGCATCTTTAATGCGATTGTAACCAACTTTATTCTTTTTCTTTACTTGACTGACATCACAATCTAAAATCTCAAGCAATATAATACAGCAAAATCTTAAAACTGACAGAAAGTGTGTAAGTGTGTGTAAGTGTGTGTGTGTGTGTGTGTGTGTGGGAGGGAGGAGGGGTGGTTTTTGCAATCCCGGCATAATAAACAAGCACCTCCGACGGCCTTAAATCCACGCCCAAAAGTGATGACGTTCCCGCCAGAGGTCCTGGCTGGCCAGGTGGCATCTCCTGCCCTGTAAATCCAACTCAACCTGTTTACAGTTATCGGTAACTTGTAATAGTATTGTGCTTCATTGAAGATAGAGTATGCTATATGCAGTTCATCAGCCATGTTTCACAACAAAGCCGAACGGAGGGCTTATGAAAGCCAACTCAAAACACAAAGTATCATTACAAACATTACTAACACAAAGTTGACCTCAACAAGTAGCTACAATAGATATCCTATTTGGTTTTGATGCAACAGCAGCCTAGTTAGATAGACTTATTTAGGTATGTCACTGAAATTATAATAAACCGTAAATGGCTGCTGGTGGAAAATATAACAAAGTTATATTTGGGTAGGATAAGTGAGCAAGCAGCATTCAGATTTGCAACCAGCTAATCCAAGATGTTGGTGTGTTGGCAGGCCAAAATTAAGGGTTACTTGTTGAAATCAGTGAACTCTCTGTAGGGATCTAGGCAGGAGAAGTTTTATTTACTTTCATCATTCCCTTTAATAAGACATTTTATGTCATTCTGCTTTATTGAAGCTGTTTACCTTTACTGCAAAAAGCAGAAATAATCACTCCGTGCTTTAATTTTCACAAAATTCAGTTGCAATTAATTTTTAAAACGCATAGCCTACCTCATTTCCCATGGAAACCAGTGAATACAACAGTTCAGCCTAACAATGATCCATCACTGAAATGCATCTCTTTTAATGCAGACATCCATTTATTACCTGATAAATAAATAAGAGCAATAATTATTGGTTTTTATATAGAGTAAAATAATTTTAGGAGCTTTAAGTGAAACAGTTTTAATTGAAGACCAGTTAGCTGGTTGACCTGGTGCCTGAAATTAGCAGCAGTTTGCCAAGTTCAGATAGTCATTGGGTCTAAGTTCTAAAATTAATGTTTGTACTTTAAAATGAATGTTTTTGCTTTAATGAAATTTATAGGCTAGGCTACAGAAGCTGGGAAATAAAGTTATTTATTTTTGTGGGTGAAGTCATTGGTGAAACCCAGGTGTGCTTTTGTCCTATTCTCTAAATTGCCTCAGCATACAAAATATGTTTAAGTGTGTTATTTATTTGCATTAAAACTTGAAACCTGTTTATTTAATCTGATGTGTCCGGTGTTCACATTTTTACTTTTCTTTTCTTTTTTGAAAATCTACCCTAAAATACATTACCTTTTTCTTTTAACTATAATCATAATTACACCCACTAACACATTCAAGCAATAAGTTGCAGCATGTGTGGTCCACTTTGTGAGATTCTGTTATATAGCCTACTGACATTCATTGTAACAGTTCAAATCACATTAAATGAATGAAAAATGTACAGTAGGTACGAATATGGTCTCACTGTTGTTCTTTTATAATTTCATTTCAAAATAACACTACATGAACTAGTAAGACTAGCTACCAGTTAAGTTGGTCTACCATGTCATGTCTTGACGTTCGTTCTACAGCCTCGTGATATTGGTAAACCTAACGTGACGTTGCGGTCCCATGTTTGATAAGCATTAACTTCCCCCAATTGAAAACAGAGCTCTTCCAAGCTGAACCAATAGGCTTATCAGGATTCCCCTTGGAGGCCGTCTTTCTGAGAAATAGTGCGTATCGGGTTAGGTTGTTAGAAAGTTAATGGCTGGGGGAAAGAGATCCTTCTCAACCCTCGCTTCGGGAGAGTTTCTGGATTCCCTGAAGTAAAATAACGCATATATCCTAAAAGAAAGAGCCTGGACGGACGTTTAAGTCAACAACTAGCTCGTTAACACACGTATAGTGAACATAAGTATGCAGGATGCAGTAGCCGGGACAGCAATGCTGACGGACGGCTTCGAGGACGAGATTGACTCGGTGACTCCTCGCTCCCCAGTGGCAGGGATGGGGGTAGGAGCGACACCAGGAGGAGTCGGACTAGGGGGAATTGGGATTGGTGTAGGTGGAAAGAAAGTACGTTTATATGGTGAGCCAGGCGGACCTGCTGCAGAAAGACTGGATTTCAAGCTAGCGGCCGCGGCCGTCCTCTCCTCGGGTCCAGGATCCGGCAGCGACGAAGACGAGGTTTCAGAGGTAGCTACGCTAGCCTAAGCTAGTTAGCTAAGCATAAGCAGAGAGCTAGGAGCTAGGCAACATTCCTCTCCTAGCGCGAGCTGGCTGCTAGCTAGCGAATTAGCTCGCAGCTGGCAACCACCCCCTCCCAGGCCGCCGAAATTACGTAAAATTAGCCAGCACTTTAATGGAGTAACACCTCATGTCAGTTCAGTTGCTTATGAAGTTTTTTTATGTTGATTATGTCTGGTGAGGCACAATCAGTTGTTCACGCTAACCGGCTGAAGTGTTTTATTTATACAGCGCAGGCTCTGACCACGGCCTACTTCGGGTGGAAGCGACGACGGCCTCGTTGGTTGCTGTCGTCTCGCAACACCCATCATAAGTTTGCAGCTCTTCCAGCAGCTTTCTAGCCACAGCAAATGGATGGTACCAGTAAACCCACGGATGTACACGACCAGCTATCTATCTGCCATTTCGTAGTTGTGGTGCAATTACGTCACTTTTCAAAGCATGTAAATGAACTCCGGTCGTATCTCAACGAACTTTTCCATACGTTTAGATTATGCCTTCCCTTGCGGAACTACGCGAATTTTCGACCGCTGGTGTTGACACATAGCCAGTTGGGCTTTTCATCCTTCAGCCTCTGACGGTCACACAGCCACCAGCACCGTGTCAACACGGTTACGTTGTCACAATTGAAAGCAATTAGGTTATGTTGAGAGGTTTTCAACTTTCCATGTGCTGGCTGGCATTCACGCAGGTGGACAGGTGTGATGGCATCTCCTCATCCTGGTTAATCAAACTGCAGACATGTTTTGTATGAGCTCAGAGGTATATGTAAATTATCCAAAATATGTCTCAGCAGCACAAATTTTATATGCTGTCTTCTTAGATGACAGTGTGACAATCATCTCTTGAGGGTTATGTTAGAATAATCCAAAGATTACTAGTCAGACTCACCAACTTTCATGTTGTAACCAAACTGTTTTTACTGTATGTCTAGTCTGTTAGATTTCTAGTCTAATCTTAGCTGTCAGTTTAAAGATATTTGTTAAATGTTGTCAGTTATACCACTGCATAATATGAAGGCAACAGACACAGGACTGGGACTTGTCAGACTACTAGTTGGTAAATATTTGATTTGCACAAACCTCAGTTTAATAACATTTTCATGGTAATGTAGTATTCATTGTTTTATAAAAGGTGGTGCAATATTTACTGTTAGAAACATGATCATCAAGGGTTTATTATGGTGGAAAGAAGTGGCATCACTGAGTGAATCTCACTACCTGTTGAGCTGTCCCTCTATATTATACTGTACTTCACTAATATCTGACCCAAGCTGTACTTATGTGAAACAGCCATGACAGTTAGACAAGTACAGATGACAGCTGATAGCTAATACCATTGTCTATATAGCCTGGGCATACCCTGTCTGAGCAGCACCAACTGTGTAGTAGCAGGAGAAGAAAATATCAAGTTTGACAGTTACTTCTCAGACACTTTAATTTAATCAACTTGCAAATGTTGGGCCTCTGTGCCCTGTTTGTTCATTCAACCAGCCTTCTAGATAAGCCTGAAAGGGGGGCACTTGTTGTGGAGTTTTACTCCAGTGGGAAACTCGCTGCTCTGGGCAGCAGCTAAAATCTCAGCCCCAGGATTAAGCAGATGCCATTCTTGGCCTTTCTAGCTCTCTGGGCACCAACACTCTGGGAACTGTAGTTCATCAATAGTAAAGATTGATGCCCGTTGTTGATTATACAGGTTCTAATAGAACTACATCACCCACGAGCTGGTGTGCTCAATGTTCCTATGTTATAGCTGAATTCTTCCTCACTAGCTAGCAGCTGTCAGCAGATAATACAGACACTGCAGCAGATTAATAATTTTCTGTCCTGTCTGTGCTCATACTGTTCACTAAAGTGAACCTTTGGATGTAGTTGAAGCAGCTGCATGGGATAGTTTTTTTTTTTTTTACTTACAGATGTATTTATTGTACACTCACCGGCCTCTTTATTAGGTATACCTGTACAACTGTATGCAATCAAGCGCAACACTTCTGCCTTAACATCTGTGTTTATAAAGGTCAGATTGTTTGTTTTTGGTGAAATTGTCATAATTGTATAAATCCAATTCAATGTTTATCTTCAGAACTGTTTGCATGTACACAGAATGCGCTACATTTCCATCATTAATGTGAAATAGTAATAGTTTTACCTGTGAAGACATTTCACACTGTAGTTGGAACGACAGAGAAGCAATCGGTTGACAAACCCGACAACAGCCACTTTAATTTTGTCCTGTCATCAGTTTAAGTCATTAAACGTTGCTAACGTTAGTTAGCAACTGATGGTATGACTCTGCTGGTTGTCATTTGAACCAGAAACCGTGATAATCAGCAGAAGCTGTTACCTGAAGTTTCCACACACAGCTTTGCTAATAAGATTATATATGTCACTGGCAC